ATCCATCCCATCCATCCATCCATCCATCCAAACAAGTAGTTTATTGCTTGTGTTTATTTTCTTTTCCCTTTCAGAGATATATTTTGTGGTACGCTGCATTGTACTAACACGAAAACCGACCTGCCTGTCATTGGCTCAGATCGTAAAGTTTACAAGTACACATATAAGACTGAGAAGGGCCCAATAGAATGCAGGTAACCGATAGGATAAAATAGACTATCTTGGTTTATACAACCTTTTCGTTCGTCCGTTCGTTCGTTCGTCCGTCCGTTCGTTCGTTYGTTTGTTTGTTTGTTTGTTCATAGTTATAATATTCAACCAGGAAGCCCATATTTCCTAAGAGTTTTTCAATGGGGTCATGCGTAACTAAATACTATAATATAATATAACTTTATTTTCGATGAAAAATACAATAATTATGTTGGTAATTTTTTTCCGGAAGCTAATGACAAACTCAAAAATATCAAATAATGAATATGAAATTGTGCAAAGGAAAACGAAAGGAAAACCAAAAGACGAAAATCTCATTAGTTTCCCATTTTGTCCTTTTCTTTTCACAGGAGTGCCTCGCTAGATCTTGGACGTGACGTTCCTGATCCTGGAATGACAAAAGAAGGAACAAAATGCGGCGATGAAAAGGTATTTGTTTTTTTTTTAAGTAATAAAGGAAATTAGAGCTACCTCGCTCGTGAGAAAGCAAAATTAGACCACTTTACCTTGGGCGTAATGTTTTCCCATTTCAGACCACGTGTCATTCTCTTGACAATGAGGAATAACATTCTTTGTTTGAATTGTATCCATATCTATGTGTCTTCTAATGCATTACCGTTAAACAAAAAAGTAATACTCTAGGGAAAGACACCCAAGGTAAAGAGAATTGTCAAATTTTAGATGTTGATTTTTGCGGAATGTTYACTATTTTTTTGTCACATTAATGTTTCAGTCATCCCCCCAATAAAGCAGAGTTTTTTCTATGTAGGTTTGTCTTGGTCAAGAATGTGTAAACGTAACACAACTATATCTGTCTAACCCTAAATGTCCAGGCGACTGCTCTTCACACGGGGTAAGCGTTGGAAATCTTGGAATCATTTTTACCGAATACCTCGGCCATTTTGAATTCTAACGTGTTAATTAAGACATTATGGGAAGCCGAGGGGGCAACAACAGGAAAATTTATAGACTGCACAAGTGTCAGACTTTCTTTTTATACAACTGTACGCTTTTCAATGAGAAGCACATCTAAAAGGCATTTGGATTATGCATTATAGATTTTCTACGTTTTTCCCCTTGGCATTACGTAATTCAAGATGGCCACCGTATCAGTAAAAAGGGCTATTTTGTGCTGTTTTTTAATAATTTTAACATGGACAAGCTCTGGTTCTCGATTGTTTCAGGTTTGTAACAACGAGGGTGATTGCTTCTGTGACRATGGCTGGGGAGGAAGGGATTGCAGTAAAAACATTGGTATGTACCAAATGTCTGTTGGATGATGACATAACATCCGTCTGTCTGTCCGTCCCACTGCCTGCCTGTCCTGTCTGTCTTTCTGTCTGTCTGTCGGTCTGTCTGTCTGTCTGTCTGTCGGTCGGTGGGTCTGTCTGTCTGTCTGTTTGTCTTTCTGTCTGTCTGTCTGTCTGTCGGTCTGTCGGTCTGTCTGTCTGTCTGTTTGTCTGTCTGTCTGTCTGTCCTGTCTTTCCAGGGCTAAGTTGGTAAAGTTACTCCAGGACTAAACTTTTTATGAAGACTTTCGTTGCGCCAAAGTTCTCAGGCTTTTAACAACCGAGTTAATCGCTTATCCTCGTGTTTCGTTTGAGCAGTAGCCAGTTTGTTCAATCGCTTTTTTCTACTCTTCAGGTTTGGCCGGTCAGAGCAAACTTGCTGGCTATGTCATACTGGTTTTCTTATGTATCGCACTGGTTGCGGGATGCGTCGGAGGGTTCATCTTTCGAGATCAACTCAAAACAAAATGGCAAGAACGACAACAAAGTAGACAGAAAAGGTAAAAATAAGCAATGAACTTGTTTAGTAAAAGGTCGCAGTTTCAAAAACCCCTACTAACTGTACTAACTGTGTGACGTTCTTGCATGGGATTTCCCAAGCGTTTGGTTCGACAACTTCCGTTGTTTGGTCAGTAACGTCTCGAGATGTATATTTCCGATACACGCACGCGCCCGCCAAAATGCAAGCTCTGTATAACAAGAGGTTGTCTAGAGAGAATCTAGAGAGTGTTGATCAAGTCAAGGCGCACCCTCGGAGGTGCACATCTTTTTCTTCCCACAAACGGCAAACAGGACCGCAGTGATGTAAGTTATTTTCGAGTATTTCATGGTTCTAATGCAATATTTTATGGCTTCTAAGGTACCGATCAGTGGAAGGAAAGCCCACTCTCTCACCATCTTCGAAAACAGCTTCAGAAACATTAACCGACGGTAGAGAAGTGCCTTCCGTTACCATCGCACCCAAGCCTCCTCCACCTCCTGCTTCAAGACCTGTGGCAAGTCGTCAGCCAGGAAAGATTGAACTTCCGAGCTGGCCGGCCGAAAATAGACACGATGAGCTTGGAGCACCGGTTCCAAGAAGGGCCCCTCCTGGAATCCCAAAGCAATCGAGTTTGAACAGAGCTTCGAGCCCCCCGATCGGTTCATATGATTCTAAACCTGCTGCCGGAGCCAGACCTGGTAGTTACGCGGGAGTTCTAGACACAACACCTGTGAACAAGCCACCACAAAGACCGTCTCCTTTAGCAGGACTAAGTCAAGGTTCTACTAACAGACCACTGCTACCGTCGGAAATAAAGAAATCACAGGAAACGATTGGAGGCGTTGGTCCACGACCCGCACAGCCTCATAAACCAGCAAGAATGCCACCACCTCTGCCTAGCAAACCACCTGCCACAGGTTTTACAAACAACAGATGAATATTAAGTAGGTTCTACTTCCGTTTCCAAACCTAGTTTGGTTTCAAAGAGAGTGAAGGCATTCAACACGTGAAATAAGAAATGTCGGTCAAACGTGTAATAGTCAAATAGACACACACAAAAAACAATGGAATTAGGGTCTACTAACGTGTATTTTTCTAATATCTATTGCACGGGTTAAGTGACTTCACTCTAGTGACTACACTCTAACTTCGTTCTAACACTCTAACTTAGGGCGAGCCTAGCTGTTTAGGGCTGACCTGTGTAGTAAAACATGAAAAAATAATTCGACCGGCTCCAGCGCTAGGACCACCTTACCTAGTGTACCTGTATTGAATTCTTAGTATGACTCGCATATTTTATCGCATTTTATTTTTTCGCATTTCCCCCCCCTTTCTTAGTCCAATGACTCAATCGTCTCTCCGTGCACTTCTTCACAGGCTTCAAAACATTCCAAAAGATCCTTCAAAACGTATTCCCATTACGAGTTTCCAGGTCATTTGAAGACTTTGGAAGTATTAACGCCATCCTAGAAGTTATTGCGTTGCACAATGCACATTGGGATTTTATAAGGCCATGCTCATTTTTTGAAAATTTCCCAGGATGATTTGCGTGATGCGGTCGTGACGTAAATGTATACAACGACTGACAAATGGCTTCCCGGCACTCTAAGCCAATCAAATAAGTTCACCGACACCCAATCACATGCCATGAGAAAGCCATTCTAATGTCACGGCATCGTGAGTTAAAATTTATGTAAATTTATATTTTCTAAATTTTGTTATTTCTTCAAATGAAAAAAAAAAAATGTTGAAAAGGTTATAATTAAAGTGCGCGCCTTGCGCTAGCGTTCATTCAAATCGGGGTTCGTACGCTCATCTGATCAAATATTAAAATTCTTGATAGTTGTACAAAAATGATTCAAGCAAAAGGCGTTTTTATTTAGCTTGGCAAATATCTTTTTTGCAGATAACATAAACTAATGATTAATATAATATAGTAAAATTGAAAATTCCGTAAATCTAGAATATAATATGATAATTTATAAAAAATAATGTTCAGGCCGCAACATTTCAGTTGTTGGCACTGATTCAAGTCAAAATTCATTAGTAGGTGTGTTTTAAAATTCTGTTGTAAAATAGCTAAGATAAATAGTAAGTCGTAAAAAGTACCTCGACAAGAAAATATAAAGAAATAAAAATGGGACTGATTTTTTAACTGATTCTCTAATTAAACCTGATTTATAATGGAGTGCAAGTTATTGAAATTGGCTTAAGGCGCCACTCAAAAAGACTGTCTTATCCATGGTATGGATGGCAAAGACAAAAGCAAAAAAACGCCGAAATAGATATAAAGGGGTCGTGTGGACAACGGCGCATTTGAAATTAGCTGGCCTTTGGCTCTAGGAAATATGCAGCCGGTGGGAAATAGCCAAAACAAAGTACCTCGCGTTTGAACATGTTTCCTCGCTGGCTTCAGTTTCCCGTTGAGGTACTTCTGGTCTGCACGCACGTATCGATCACGTTTTTTAAATACAGGTATTTTACCACCCCGCCCTTGCAATTGCCTCCCCCACCCCCTCCTCAAAAAACTAGGAGAAGATCGATGAAGTAGACGATCAAAACATGGAAGCTGGTCATAGACGAGTCATGGCTTACAACTGCTTGAATTCTGCTGCTATTGAAATAGTGAAATTAGATATCTTTTTAAGTCAATTTCTAAGAGGGTTGGACGGGTAATCTTGTATTTCGGTAGCCAAACGTTTGCCAAATCTATATTTATAGAGGTATGCATTTCTGGTCAACTTTTGCCAATCACACGCTAGCTCGAGTATCTTTTTACTTCTTTTTTTTCATATCAATCTTTTTCTCTTTCTTTCCACGATATGTTTTTCCTAAATAACAACAGAGTAATCTATTTTGTAGGGAAAAAACTGTGAAAATATAATTTGAAGGCAATTTCTAGGAGTTCTTTCCGAAATACTAATTACTCAATACTGTGATACGTGGTTTAAAGTGCTTGAAATTCTGATGGCATAATTTCTCAAAATCTAACGGCTGGAGGCAGGTTGTGATCGTTTCATCCTTCCTGTCTATGGCACCCCTTGACCCTCACCCTTATAAATTAGACTATTTACTGCACTCCTCTGAAGAAAAAAAGGAAGCTGGAAACTAATTCCATTCGCACGTGATATGATCCTAGACCTATGATTGGCTGGTTCAGGTATGACAATCTTCCTTATTATTGTTTTTGATGATCAGAGAATTTTCTAGTCGAAAAAGAACGAAAAAACAATAATATAGAGTTTTTTATATTCAAATGAACACATCCATCGCCTCGACTTTTATCTATGCTATTCTTGCCAGCTGTCGACGGAAGCTCCATTGATTAACTCACTAGAACAAGCAGCGGAGAAAGAACATTTGGCAGTGTGAACTGCGACGTTTCGTGATCCTCATGAAAACATTGTTAAGACTGAATTTGTTTCTCATTTCGGAAGTATGGCCTTTCCCTTGGCTCTTCGTCTTCTCAGCTACCCACTTTAGCTTGATGGGATTCGTTTTATTGATGATAATGGACATTAGAGTATAACTGCTATCAAGGAAAACAAACGCTGACCAAAGACGAGTAAGATTAAGCCATAAGCTATCATTCAATTCCTTCGTCAGTGTTTTTGAAATTTAATTGGCAGTTGTTCATTGTTTTTACGATCAGCTGTTTTTGTATCGTTGTTCCAAAGTTTAATTTCCTGAGAGAGGGAGATTGTTTTTTAAACGAATGAAATAGCAAAGGAGGACAAATTATGATGCTTATAGTTAGAAACCCTCTACATTTATAAATTGACAACGATTGAAACTACAAAAAATGCAGTGGCTGAGGTTTTCTTAAACTTTGTTATTCAGGTGTAAGGATTTTTGGAACAATGGGTGACATCGAATACGATCAACAGAATCCAAGAGAGCTCATAAAATGTGTTCTGATCGGCGACTCAGGCGTTGGAAAGACAAAGTTGATTCTCGCTGAAGCGACTGGTGTTGGCATGAAAATGGGCACAACGGCCCGTCATTTCCACTATCCATCAGTGTTTGCTATCGACCAGTATCACGTATCCCAAGAAATCCGAGACAGGGCAAACGTTGTGGTCGATGGTGTGGATGTTGCCCTCAGATTATGGGATACATTTGGTGATCATGGCATGAACAGAAAATTTGCATATCAGAACGCCCATGTCATCATGTTGTGTTTCAACATCAGTTCTCCTAGTTCTTTTAAAAATGTCAATGCCCTATGGTATCCAGAAATTAAAAAATTTTGCCCACGGATACCCATAATACTCGTTGGAACCCATTCGGATTGGCGCTGTCAATCAAGTTCCACAGTTATGATTAAAGATAACTGCAGTSTGTCGAAACGGATGCAGGAATGTGTATTAGTTTCACCAGACATGGGCCGACAGGTTGCCAAGGAGATTGGTGCCACATACTATGAAACGAGTGTCGTCACTATGTGGGGAGTAAAAGAGATTTTTGAAAATGCAATAAGGGCTGCATTGATTGCCAGACGACAGACAAGATTTTGGTCTTCACAGCTCAAGAGAGTTTCAAAACCTCAGCTACAGCAGCCTTTCCTTCCAGAGAAATCCAGCCTCCCATTGGTTGAAGTACCAGTTGGTCAGTACCAACAAAATCTCCAGGACCTACTTGATCATAGAGTTTGCACAGATGTACACTTTATTTTAGGCCAGCATGTTATTGAAGCGCATTGTGCCATCCTTGCCTGTGCTTCACCATTGTTTAGCCAGTTGTTCTTGGCTCATGGATTGTTCAGTAGCCATGCCAAGGAGTCATACTTGCTGAAATGTTTTGTTCATTTTGATGAACATGTGGAGTTCTTTCAAAATGGGACTGTACTCGGCAAACAGACATTGCTACCCAGAGGCTTTACATCCATCAGTGTAACAAGCTATGGAGATCAGCAGATTTCTAAGATAGTAGTCGAAGTGGATAATTCCATTCCAGCAAGTGCATTTCAAGCAGTTCTATCCTTCTTATATAGTTTTGACCTACCACAGGGATGTGTTTACAATGAGGAACTACTACATGTTACCAGATACCTTCAGGTTAAGAACATGTCGGAATACATCAACAATATCCTGAATAAATCTGCATACATGAACACAGAGGTCTATTCCAACATCCAGAGACGTATCCTGTTTAATAGCAAACTACTCATTGGGCAAAAGTGTATGTCAGATGTTGCTTTTGTACTCCATGACAAAACTGTCCATGCGCACAAGTGCTTTATGGTGTCACAGTGTGAAATGCTAGCCGCAATGTTCATGGAAGGACATTTCAAAGAAAGTGGACACCAAGTGGTATGTTCAAAGTTCCAAATTTTGGCAGGAAATTAAAATGTTCAAAACGAACTTTGTTTCAAAGTTCCGAAGTTGGTCACCAACTTCAAGGGAATTTCTGAACATACAGTAGTTCAGAACCTGTGTCATGTAAAGTAATGTGAAACTTACTGTAACTACAGTAACAAAATGTAAAAACAATTTGTTAACTGGCCATGGGCTGTCTCATCTTACACTGTATTTTTCCCAAACTTTCTTTTAGGTTGAACTAAAAGATGTCAGCAGTTATCAGACATTTCTAGCAGTGTTGGAGTATTTGTACACAGGACATTGCCCAATCCTCGTTCTTGATGAAGCTCTTGATGTTATGGGCCTTGCAAACTTTTTCTGTTTACCACGATTAGTTGCCTTCTGTGAAAAACTAATTACCAAAGAGTTGCAGGTGAACATGGCATCAGATGAGCTCTCTGTTTCTGAAGATGTCATTGGTAAGTTGCATAGTATATTTTCTTTCTTCAAAAAACAAATACTGCTTAGCTATCCCCCTCTCCCCATTAGCTGGCCGTTTTATTCATTTATTTACTTTTTTAACTGCCTTATGCATATGCACCACGTTCCAATCAGAAATAAAGCTTGCATTACCCGTTTTTAGCCATAAGTACAAACGGTGTTCAGCCACTTGTTTATTAGCATATGACGGAGATTTGTTTTGGAAATTATCGGATCCTATCCGGTCCCCCCTTTTGAAATTTCCTAGATCCGCCCCAGTTCAATGTGTGTATTTGAATCCCAATAATTAATAATTTAAAAATAAAAATAGAATAATAATTTATTAATACATTGTAAAATTAGTAGTGTGCAATTAATAATCTAATATGAAAAAAGTTGAGTCGTAACAGAAAACTGCTGGGTTTCCACGACGATTTCACCCTTCTCTCCCCTTAGAGCAAATTTTAACCAATCACGTTATTGTTGCAGCCTGTTTAAAAGAAGCTCAGCTGCACAATGCTTCACAGTTGGAGGCTTGGTGCCTATGTTATCTGGCTACGCATTACGTAGAGGTATGTCATCTACACCCAAAGGAGTTCAAAACCCTCAGTTCAGCAACCCACCATTGCTTGAGCAAGCAGCGTTGGCCACCTGTATGGTACCTGCTTGAGAATGAGTGGTACGAGAAAGCCAAGCGAGAAATTGATCAGCAAGAGAAGAACAAAAGACTATTAAAGTCATACGTTAAAGGCAAGAGGAAAAAGTGTCGCTGTCTCAAGCTTGGCCGTTGAAAATGATTATGTCGTAAGATGACTGTTTCAACATCCTAAAGTATGGATGCTTTGATCTCCAGCAGAGGAGTATTAGGTCTTTACTTTCCAAGGGAGATTACATAAGATATTCGAGCATAAGTTTCCATCTGTGGGGGAAGATGATGTTATATTCCAAAGCAAAAGAAGATCATTAAAATAGACCACTGTAGAGTTATACTAGGTAGGGCAAAGTACTCAAATGCAGTGAAATCCCCTCATTTGCAAAGCTTTTGAATAGGCTAGACTGCTTATTTGTAGTCTGTCAAAGATAGTGGCATTATCTTGCCAACTCCTTTGGCTATCTAGTTCAGTGCCAGTCTATTAGATAGATCGCATTGCAAGCCACATATTTATAGATTACCAAGGTGAATTCCTAAAGGACAGATGCTTATCACCAGTACTACTAGAGGACCTTATTCAAGGGGGTATCCATGTCCTCTGAACAGGGCCTCAAAACAACAACAACGCTGCTTATTGTCCACAGTAGCAGGGTGTCTGCATTAAGTGGATATCCATAATCTACTGTGTAAATTATTGGTATTGGTCAATAATATAGTGATCTTAACCTACCAATAGCTTGCTAACCAACAACATAGTGATCTTAACGGTTATTGTAATTTGTATTTTATAAAAGAAATTTAAAAACTTGCTTGCTGTGCTGTGTGCAGTTATAAAGCACTTGGGGATTGGCATAACACTCGAGAACTATTGAGAAGCACTCCACTATGCATCGTGCTTCTCCTCATACTTCTCTCGTATTCTGCCAACCCCCGCATGCTTTATAACTGCACACAGCAAGTGCGTGCATTATCTATTTCTTCAGTATAACAGCGTAATCACAAAAGTGATGTATCTATTAAATATAACTTCCTAGAGTTTTAACCAGTGAAACAAAAAAATTACTTGGTATGATGGTCAATAAGACAAAACAAAATATCAATAAGATGTAGTAACCACGATATTAGCAGGGAAAGGGACATTTGGATCCCTGAAGACAATCTGTGGTCAGAGATCTAAATGTCAATAAGCATTTAAAAAGTCAAAGAAAACAAGTAAAATATTCATTCCAGCAGTATGTAGTGATTTCAATGAAAGAAAAAATCACCTTTATAAGAACTACTTCAAGGCCTAGGGCAAACGTCGAACTTTCCATGCACCAAACTTAATTACATCAAAGAATGCCGCCTCAGTATCACCTGATATCCATTGTTTTTAATGAGTTCGGTGCATGGAAAGTTCGACGTTTGCCCTAGGCCCAAGAGAACCAGGATTTGTTAACTAAAAATGATGATAATAATAATTATGTAGTAACATAACATTAAAAAACAGTTTTATTATGTTTCATTAACATAAGTAATATAATTAGAAGATGCATATTAATTTGAAGCATAAGTTTAATGATGAAAGAAAAGTATTTTTTACATAGAAAATAAAAGTTTTAAGTTAAAACAAGGTTTACTATCTTTATTCTTGCAAAAAAGCATTGAAAAAATGTTACATGGGCGGCCGTGGTGCTTGTCAAGGTTCAGTAAAGCAATGAATACAATCTTGTGGCATTTAGAGGAAGAGAATTCTCAGTTTCATTAGGAAAATTAAAAACTACAAATTAATTTTGATCCTTTGATTTTACTTCAGGTTATATTGTTTGGAATAATAGCTAGAAAACTCCACTGTTTTCTGAGTGAAAGTTGTGAAATATTTTATAAATAAATAAGTACAATGACCCTGCAGCTTGTACAGGCTACGGCTAATTAAAATCTAAGATTAATTAATCTTGTTACAGTAACAAACTTTACATAGAGAAATAGCCATTAACTTTTGAAAATTTAGGTCAAAATTATTAAAAATTAAAGAGGAAAAGGAGCCTTTCTTGTACAAGTTACAGTGTCCGCCAAGGACTTTCTCAACAAACAAAGGTGTTCTAATCTCATTAACAATATTGAAACAGCAAAAGCAAAATTATTAAAAATTATAGAGGAAAAGGAGCCTTCCTTGTATAAGTTAAAGTGTCTGCTAAGGACTTTCTCAACAAACCAAGGTGTTCTAATCTAATTAACAATTGGAACAGCAAAAGCACAGCCACTTTCAATTGCCAAATTGTAATCATTGCCTTTGCCGCCATCATATTTGCTAGTCACGATCCTGAGGAATCCACTTTCCCCCCATGGCTTACCCCAGGAATTTCGCACAATCCAATACTCCACGCCCTTCTCTACCCCCCAACCAACAACAGATACAATGTGATTGACTTCTGGAACTAAGCTGTACTCTTTGTAAATTCCTCCACTGTACTTTTCAAGACTTGCTGTTGCCATGATACCACAGGCAATGGGACCACGAGCATAGATTTCAGCCATCATCTTGTCTCTCCCTTTTACATTACCTGAAAATAAGAAAAATGCTTTTTATTAGCCAGGGCTTGGTTGTAAGAAGGGTGGATAATGCTATCCAACAGATAAATCCTTATCCACTGGATAAGTCGATGCCACTATCCAATAGATTTATTCACTGGATAAGATTTATCCATCATATCCCTTCATACAAGGTATGTTAGTTTTGTTTCTTGAGAATTGGAGTGGAGGAATTAAAATTGCAAAATTTGTGTTTTCTTTTTATTATTCGTGCTGTTTTCCCTCTGTGTTTGCTATTCTAAACTCCTAGTTTAGGCAGTCTATTTACAGGCCTATGGTCATGGTTCAAGATGATCAATTTTGCTCTAAGCCTGGCCTACCCCCTTTTCTTAGTATAGCAAATACTGTAATTCACATGCATTATCTTACCAAATTCACTAATTTTAAACAGGGTATAGTTCTTAATGACGTAGCAATCTCCAAAAGTACTGCATGTTCCACACTGATTGAACTCTGTACACTGCATGTCTTTAGCCTGGTAGTTGTTGCATGTTTCATCTGGTATGCCGTGCTTATGGGCATATTCATAAACACCAGCCATTCCACCACCATGGCATGTACCTGCACCAGCTGAGAAAAATGAGGTTTAAAAAAAATATGAAAATGGTCAGTTCTAGTAACTATCGGTAATAGAAAATATTTGATAGGAACATTTTATCTACTAGAGACAGACATGGCACAGATGTAGATGGGTAGATATGGGGGATGCTAAAGGCGGCTGCAATCCTCTACATTATATATGCACAGGATTTATTCTATGGTCATACCATAGTTAATGAAGAATGGTTGGGAAACCTATTGTTCTATGTTTTTGTTCGACTTTATCAATCGTTATATGATGTTGACCCTACACAGAGAAACAAACGTTGCTCTGTTAACTTATCATTTGTTAATTAATCCTATATGATTAATACAATAGTTGATTATTGAAAAGGAAATTGCCTTTTTTTCATGCTTTCTTATTTATCATCTAGTAACTTAACTGTATCTGCGCAGAAATATTTATTYGCATGGTTTTTGGTCATCGAATGAAATTTTTCACTTTCAAAATGTTAATACATGAAAATAATAAGGAAATGAGTATTTTCAGCCATACTTGCTTTGGTCCATTGTGCAGGGTCAGTACCATGTGATGGTACAGTTCAACATCAAACGCAAAACAATAGCTTTGTTTTATTGAGTTTCCAACCCATTCTGCTCCATTAACTATGGCCATACCCTTGAACTACTCCAAGTCATTCTAAGTTTCCTGCATCCACCAAATATTTTTTTGATATTGGTGTGAAAAGCATAGTGCAGCAGTGTTAATGGCCTTACATCCACCTAGCTATGGATTGCTGTTCAGGGACGTTGGGGATGGGATCCCTTGGTTCAAAAATAATTGTCAGTTCATAGGAAAACTATTGATCTTATATTATATAAAGGAATGTTGCTTACCACAAGCCAACACATGTTGAACAGACAGATAATTCACTGGCCATTTCCCTTTCCTTTGGATGTTAATCCTGTCTGACAAAGCACTTGTGGTGCCCATAGCCCAACAGGATCCACAATACTGAGGGATGTGCTGGTTACGGGTAACGCTAGCAAAGTTTGTTCCATTAAGATCGCGCCAGTCAAGAGCCGTGGGCAACTTGCTCATGTCCAAATATTCATGAGGACGTCGAGTCTTGCTGCAAGAATAAAGAATAAATTAAAACTTTCTGGTTTAAATTCTGCTATTATTTTGCTTCAAAAGATTCAAAAGTGCGCTAGCAACGAAGCATAGACCCTCTTAAACATTTAATTAAAAGAAAAACAAATATTTCCTCCCCATTCCATGATATTTTATACATGGAAAAACGTAAACTTCATAATGAATACAGTCACTTACATAACTTCTTTTATGTTCTTGTCAAAGGCCGGCTTGTAGCAAGGCTCGTTTACACGGGAATGGTGCTTCTTTGGAAGGGCAAAAGACACCCCAAACAGGACTACGAGAACAATTATTGACCGCATGGTAAAGGAAAGGAAATTTAACAAATTTTTAGTCCTTAAATCTCTTCTTTTCTTTCCTTTTATATGCGAATATCAAAGTTGTTGTTTGCGTCTCGTGATTTGCACTTGAACAGGAAGTAAAAATTACTGGAATCTGATTGGACAACTCTTGTGATCCCGTGATCACCACGTGCTTCTTTTCCTCTTACCCAGGCTACTAATAATCACACGTTCTTTTGCCACAGCAATCCACAGATGATTGAGTGTAAATAATGTGTCTTGGTTTATATTTTAGTACTTCAAATAATTCCTTTCGTCTGAAGTTGGAATTGCTTTTATCAAGAGGTTGGTATACTGAATGCAAAAAAGATGTTCCAAGTTTTTTCATCCAAGTTTTGGATAAATTTGAAGCATTCAAAATTTAATGCCTGACAAGCTAGTCTTGCCTAGCTCCAGGGGGAGCATTTGATGTTTTAGTTTCAAATTATACATAGTATAATAAATAATGAAAGTTTATTTAATTTTCCTTTCAGGTCTGATGATTTAAGTAACAACTTCGAAAATGATTACTTGAGAAAAGCTATCAAAATATAGAATATTTTTTATATAATTCAATGTCTCAAAAGTGAATTTGTAAAGATGAGAGCAATATTAATCATCAACTCAATGCCAGACATCTTATTTGTCTGGGAAGACAGTGAGTTTGCTGAGCACATAAACAAGGTTTTAAAGGAAGCAGGGTTCATTAACCCTAATCAAGATGTATCAAAATTAGACTATGGTGCAATGGCACAGTTCTTTTCACCAATGATTGCTTCACTGACTTACATGAATGAACATGGTAGTCCTTATTCTTCTATAACTTGCAAAGATGGGACCTTATTTGTATTCAAACAGGTAATATATATTGGAAAATATAAGTATTATATTACAGGGTGTAGATATAGCTAGGGTAGGTAATTCATTGGGTGACTGCATGCACATCTTCAGCCTTTCCTATCTGGAAATACGACCCAAAATATGAATAATAGCAATTGTTGCTGGGATGTAAGCTATTGTCATTACTATGCCAACCAGAGATTGATTCACTGATGAAACAAAGCAACTTGGCGACAAGAGCTATTGTGATAATGATTGRCAAACATCCCAACATCCCAATGCTGTTTGTATAAACACCATCAAGCGCTACATACTATCACCACGAATCTGAAAGTTGTCCCAAGTCAAATCCTAGATTGCCATGATTTTAGGGATAAATCATAAAAAGAGAAGATCAAACTCTTGCTGCTGAGTAAATAAAGGGCAACTATACACTAAGTGTGTTGCATCGGAAGAAATTTATATGTGATCAGTTTTAAGGAGCTGCATGTTTCAGTATTAAAGGGGACTGAGGGGGCTGCACAATCTCAACCAAGACTGTTTCAAAGTTTGATAAATTAAAGGTTTTGGTTAACATCACAGTTATACTTGGCCCATCTTCTTGACCTATCATGTACACAACATGGTGGGTTTTTACTGGATTATCTGCTAGCTTTCCCCAACCACTCTAGAAAAACAGATGATAAAAGAGTAAAATTTTAAACCTTGAAAAGATAAAAAAAACTTTACTGACGTTTCAGATGCTAGTTTCGGACACTACTCCGATGAAGAACTAGTGTCCGAAACATCAGTAAAGTTTATTTCATCTTTTCATGGTGTAAGATTTACCCTTTTATCATTACTGTTTCATTAGCAAGACCGACACGTACAGCTCACACTAGTTTTTAGCTAGTTATCTCTAGAAAAGCAGAACTTAAAAGTTCTAAACTTATTTAAAACTTTTTTTTCAGTTTAACAATATGATATTTTTGGCAGTCAATGGTAGTGGCGATGAATCAGAGGATTTCTTGAGAAGGAAGTTAACAGTTGTGCACAGAATGGCTGTAATGCATTATGGTGCATCTCTAGATTTACTCAAACCTGAATTACCATCCAAACGGAAAGCAAATTGGAAAAGGCTTGGTGAACTGATTGATGCTTGGCAGTCATTGTACTCTCAGCAGCAGAGTTTTCTTGTTGAGGTAAACTTTCTTTGTTAAGTTATTGCATATCTTATTGATAAATTATTGGTAAAGCTTTGAAAAAATTAACATATAGGTCTAAAAAGCACAGACAATCAAAGTGCAGTCAAGTTTGGTACTTGTCCAGGCAGATACATTCTAGGCTGCTCCTCTTGACTCCTCACTTGTATGTCCAGGCATTGAGCAGCCATTGCATTTTTAGCATTGCAAGTCAGACTGGGCCATCTTAATTTTTCAGAACAAATGATGCTATTGTACCAGTGAGAGACATGTTACTTAATAAACTATACTTGTACCTTAAACTATGTCATATTTACACTGACATGGTTTTCAGACAGAAATGATTCTTTTTGAATAGTGTCTAAAATCTTTGTGTTGTCCAGGCTGTGGAGAGAATCAATGTCAATCAAACACTCAGTGAGATGGCCATGAATCTACTCAATACTGCTTTGTCAACAGTGAAGAACAAAAGTGACCAGAATGCTGTACATGCATTACTTCTAGTTAATACAAAACTGTTTGCACTTTATTCAAGGTGAGTTGCAATTTTTCTTACATTATCTTCTTCCTTCCTTCCTTCCTTCCTTCCTT